TTAATAAATGGTGCTGGAAAAGCTGGCTTTCTACATGCCAAAGATTAAAACTAGACCCATACCTTTCACCATGCACTAAACTAAAATCAAAATGGATCAGGGCTGGGTTTGTGGCTCAGTGGTAGACCTCTTGCCTTGCATGCACAAGGCCCTGGGTTTGATCCCCAGCACCATAAAAGAAACAATGGATCAAAGATCTAAATATTAAAATGGATTTGAAGGGCCAGGGATACAGCTGTGGCACAAGTGCCTGCCTGGGAAGTGCAAGATCCTGAGTTCGATTCCCAGTACCAAAAAAAAAAAAGGATTCGAAGCCAACCTGGGCTACAAAGTGAGCTCAAGGTCACCCTGAACTGCAATAGTGAGACGCTGTCTCAAAAGACAAAAAAAAAAAAAAGAAAGAAAGAAAAAAAAGCAAACACTAAATCTGCTGGAAGATAGAATAGGTAGAACTCCTGAAGACACTGATGCAGGCAAAGACTTTATGAACAAAAGCTTGATCGCACAGGAACTATCACAAAGAATCAACAACTGGGATCTCATCTTATTAAAAAGTTTTCACAGGGGCTGGGGATTTAGCTCAGCGGCACAGCACCTGCCTGGCAAGCACGAGGTTGTGAGTTCGATCCCTGGTACCAGGAAAAAAAAAAAAAAAAGTTTTCACACAGCAAGAGAAACCACCAAAACAGAGTGAAGAGACAACCCATAACATGGGAAAATTTTTGCCAACTGTTCCTCAAACAAAGGACTACTATCTAGAATATATAAAGGACTCAAAAAAAAAAAAAAATCAGACCCCCCCAAATTTAACAACCCAATCCAAAAATGGGAATCTGAAATGAACAGACATTTCTCAGATGAAGAACAAACAGCAAAGAAATACATGAAACAATGTTCAACATCACTGGTCCCTTGAGAGATGCAAACTAAAACAACTCTGAGATCCCATCTCACCCCAGGAAGAACAGCTATCATCAAAAAAATCAACCAATAACAAATGCTAGAGGGGCTGTGGGGAAAAAGGGACCCTCTTCCACTGTCGGTGGGAGTGTAGACTGGTGCAACCACTGTGGAAATCAGTGTGGAGATTCCTCAAAAAACTAAAACCAGAGGTTCCATTTGACCCAGCTATTCCCCCTTCTTGATATCTTCCTGAAAGAATTAAAAGCATCATACCAAAGTGATATATGCACACCCATGTTTA